TTCAGATACATTTAGCTTTTAATTTTCGCTAATCACCAAACTAAATATAAAAGAACAACAAAAAGCTCACTGTTTAAAAGTTTATAATTTGTTTGTTAAAACTATTTTTTTAGACAATTTTGTGTTTTTCTTTTCTTAATTGTATGTTTATTTTTCTCCTATTAATAAATAAATACCTACTATTATATGAAAATACGAAATAAAGTAAAAATTTTGCAATTGCTGTAATTCTGTAATTTCTGCAAACAAATTCTTATGTTCAACATTTTAGAATAAATTGTTTTTATTGGCATTTTGACTTTGACTTTCCCTACTAAAAAACTGGTGATTACAATACGGAAAAATATTGCAACAAGAATTAGCTGACGATAACAAATTGTATTTGTGTTAAGGTAATTTTACTAAACTCTAAATTTTTTTGGAAAAAAAGAAAAGAAGAAAGGACAACAAAAAACTATTTGCAAAACAAAATTTAGTCTTTATTATAAACAGTTATTGTTATTATCTTTGTTAAAAAGTTGGAAAGAGAGTCCAAATCTCAGAATAAATGTAGATACTCGTATTTATCAATATATCGGGCAAAATCGCTTCCTGCTCTAATTAAATTTCGGCCACATCCTATATAAAACCAAAATCCGCTCTAAATATCCTACAAACCGAGATCTTCGTCGGCCTTTTAGCCACATCCTCTCAATATTTTCGGTCTCGCACCGTCTGTAACAATAATAATTATAAGTTCTAATAAAGCTGGTCCTATCCGGGGCCCCGATTAGTATGCATAGTACGTGGTCTTCTGGCTTGAACGCCCCTAATGAAATTGTCACCAATGTTTAACGGCTGCAAWCCCTTTTCCGGACACGAAACTTTCCGCTTTGGTCGTATCTAAGAAGTTCCGGGCCGGCAATACCATTAATATTCCCTCGACGCAAAAATCGCGATTGTTTCAATTATTCTTCAGCGCAGATTTGCATTACGTTAATTGCGCTATTAAAACGTCGGCAGCTATTTTTATAGAGGATTTCAGGTAAATTATGGTAATAAGGAGGATAATAAAGTGGGAGTTGTAGTAACAGTTTATTTCGACCCGCCTGTACAACTTATCTTACAAATAACTATAGAAAACAAGTTTACAATAAACAATGAACATCAAATACAAACAAATAATGGTCCCATTTAAACAATCGAGAACAACAAATTCATAAAGTCTCTATTTATTTTGTTTATTAAATCATAAACAATGTTGAAATGCGTTTTGAAATATCAATTCAAAATCATTTCATGTGCGATTGGACGTGATTTACGCCACATCAAAGGTCATTACGCAAAATTAAATGCATTGCGATATTTTAATGCCCAAAGTTTGTGTTTAATTATTTATACACTTAAATTGCACGGCGTAAAACAACGCTTTTATAGACAATAAAGATAAATAAAATGTTATCCATCTGGAGAATTCTCCCTGCACTTATTTTTATTTTTCTTTCGAATTCAGGACATTGAATTTTTATTGCCTATAAAGGGTATTGAAGACTTTTCAAACCGTAGCCTTAAAAAACAAAAACATTAAATGTCACTCCGAGAAGATCACTCCAAAACAAAAGCCACGTCGTAGATTAATCCAGACACAATAATTCTAATTTATTGAAATCATGATGGCACTATGTTTTATAAGTAAATTCTAACAAAACACCACTCTTAGCATTTAATATTAGTTTAGGTTTCAAATTTTGTCAATATTAATTGCGGATTCTACATTTTACCATAAATGATTGAATTCTTGTGGTAAATTCATAAAAAATGTTGCAAAAACAACAAATATATCAATAAATTATTTGAGCCCAATATTATTCTTATTTTTTTATTTTTAAAATATAGTCCTCGAACTTATTTCAAGCAATTCAATGAAACAGTTTTCCTTCTCACACTTGTTCAATATATGCAATAACATTGACGTTGATAGTTAATAAGTTTCTTAATTACCCCAACAAAGCTTTAATTTTGTGAAAAAACTGTTTTTGTTTCGTAAGAATAACTTAATTGAAAATTTTTCGAAAAAATGGTCACGTTTAAGTTTGATTCAGACGTGAGTTCTAATCAATATTTCAATAAATGTATTAGAAATCAGTAGCGCTGTAAAAAAGTCACGTCTCATATTGATTCACACACGTACCGACTGTCACTTATATCAATCTGGAAGTTGTGCGTTGATCGTAGGTTCGTTTTTTGCACTTTATTCCGGCCTTTTCAGTTCAGTGACAATAAACGTCTGATTAAATCAACGAATTGATTTTTTTATTTAATTTGGCAGCGACAAAAGTCACGTCTTGGATTATTTCAAACTAATATAGTTTGATTGACATTTAGGAAGCGTCCGGTTCACTCACCGAGCCGCCTCCGCGTTTCATTTCCTTAACGAATTGGAGTGCTCTCCTCTCCACTAAATCCAACCCCAATACTGAATAATGTTTACAAGTCTCGTTACTTTTACCATCGACATTCCGTCAAGCCCATCGCCCGGAATCCATCAAGGCGCGTGACCTTTTTTCTCTATACAAACCCGGAGTCGGTAAATATTGACAGTTGTTGTCGCCATGTTGAAATTGTGCGGCTTCTTTGAACTTTACGGATCAAATCTAAGAAAGGCAAATTCGTTTTTGTGAATGAAAACGTCCTCTAGAGCAAAAACACGAGTCTCTTTATAAAGCAGGTATCTTGATTAGACTTCTTATCGGCTTTCGCTAAACCGGAGCGCTCCCGGATAATAAAGTGGCGTAAATCCGGTCGTCTCACACTGGTTTGTGCGTAGATACAAATGCTTCTTCGTACATAAGCGACTTTGTAACACAGTTGGAGAACATTGATATTTTTTATTTACAAGTAAGTACTTTGCGATTATGCAAAAATATAGGGGAAGGGCGGAGCTTAATACCACCAATGGCCGGGTTTATTGCACGTAAAAACGAATTTTGCCAAAATACGTGCCCAAATTTTACTATTTAATACAATAAGTTGCGTAGAGGAGCGGCAACTTTTATTTTACGACAAGGATTTAAATTTTTTTCAGGTAAATAAAGAAAGGACTGCGGGTTTTTCGGGTAATATTCCTGAAAATTGCACAAAGAGAGTTAAAGAAGATTCAGGCCACGTCGGCCCAGGTTTATGTTTATCCAATTTGGCTACTAAAAAATTTTAAAAAAATACAGGGTGCGATTCTGGCGCCCCAGAGAAAAATTTCAAGTAAAATAAGATACCAAGAACATGGAAAAAATGTTTAAAAAATTCTCTGTCAAATTTTGACATTTGACATTTTTTTATGTCTATTTAATAATACTGTTAACTTGTATATGTTTTTTTACAATTATTTAAAAAAATTGCCAATAAAAGCCACCAATAACATTAAACAGAGTTACAATTTAGGATACAGCTTCCTTGTTTCCTCTTCTAATAGCCTGTAGCAAAAAACTGGGAAAATTATTTTTCTAACAGAAAGAAATAGAGTCAAAGTGCAAACTTTAAACTCTCATAACTTCGAGATTTTTATAGATAACATTTTTTAATTTTTTTCCATGTTCCTGGTATCTTATCCTATATGGAAATTTTCTCTGGGGCGCGAGTTCTGGAGCACTCTGTATACAGGTTGGCCCATTTTCAATTTTCTGAAATTTTTTAACATAAATATACAGCATGTCCCCTAATTGAGTTTACAAAAAAAAACATCTTTGATTTTACGGCAAAACTGCAAAAGAAAAACATTTTTTGCTTCACCTGAAACGAGCAAATCTGTACTTAAAACTTCATTATTCAGATCCAGTGAAAAGAAAAGTAAATTTTTCTCTTGATATTCGACTAAGAATAATTTTTCTCTGCTTTTTAAATCCTAGCACAATGGCGGTTTTATTTATTTGACAACTATACTTCACTTTGTCAATCAATATATTAGTGAAATAATGATAGTTCTTGTTAAAAATGACTTTGGTTTTTATTTTAAAACCGTTTTCTTTGAGTTGCTAGTTATTAAAATTATGTTATTCACAAACATTTTTGTTATTTAACTTGCGTAAACTCGTTTGTCATAGTGACTTCATTGTCAAAATAATAAAACCGCCAATGTGTTAGAACTTAAAAAGCAGAGAAAAAATATTCCAGAATTAAAAAAAAAATCTTTATACTGAGTTAGAATAATTAAGTTTTAAGTACAGATTAGCTCAGTTCAGGTGAAGCAGTAAATGTTTTTCCTTGTAAAATTAAAGATTAAAATAATCCCGTTGTAAACTTATTCCGGGGACGTACCTACTGTATAATATAAACAACGTTTAACAGTTCTTTCTTTATGTTCACCGTAATTTGCATATTTTAAATTAAAAGAGTAAAACAAATTAATAGTACTTATATTAAAAAACAAATGTTACAAACACTCTCATTTTAAGTAGTTTGTGACGCAAACCACGCAGTGACAAGTGTTACAAATACACGAGTATCACAATGAGAGATGGTAACACGTGTTTTCTAATATAAGTTTTCTAATATAAGTCATAGAAAATACGGTGAACATAAAGGAAAAACTGTCAAACTTTGTTTTTATTTTCATACATGCAGAGTAAACAAAAGTATGAAGTAAAAATTAATGAAAGATTTAAGACTAACTTTGCTGTAATTTTTTACATACAAAAAAGGATTTGAAAAACTCATTTCGACACCCAAATCAATATTTTAATATGACAGTATTTTATTCAAAAGTTGTCTTAGTGTGTTTTTTATCGTAAGTGAATAACCTGTATACTGAGTGACAAACTTATCGTTTCAAAACGTTTCGTTTATCAAGTTAGTATTGCAATAACCCAGCCACAGCCAGCCCCTGCATTCTCATTAACCCCCGCCCCTCCCTGAGGCACTATAATTCACTATATCCGTTTGATATGGTCTCGATGTGAGCACCTCTCGATATGTTTTCCTCGCGTTACCACAGACAACAACCCCCCAGCCCCCTATTGGAGTAAACTTCAAATTCCCGTTCCGTTCGGTAAACTCTGTGTATCTTTCTTGATCTCGTCGATCGTCGAAACTTCCACTTTCCTTTCGGTCAAATCCAGCGGAAACTTGAAGCTGATCTCGCCCTTGGCGAAAATCGCAATAGGCCGATCTAGGGAATTCTCCTGGAGCTCCGCCAAGCGTTTCTGTTCGCGGACGGCGTCCCGAGCACGTCGTCGCATGCACGAACACACCGCAAATGTAACACAAACCAAAGAAAACGAAGCGAGACTCGCAAACCCGACCACAAGGCCTAGTCTCCCGGTTTTAGTAGAGTCCTGCGAGGGGGGCTTGCACCCGGGGAGATCCTCTAGGTGCAAAGTGGAGATTTCGCGTCCTTGGACCGGCTTCGGCGAGGCACACGTGACGTTCCTGAATAGATTAGTGCGGTTTAAGCGGAAAATTATAGAGCTTAAATCGCACACTCGACACGACCAGGGGTTAGAAACGAGAGACACTGAATGTAAATCCTCGAGCTTAAAAATGAGGCTTTCGGAAAGACGCTGCAAGCTATTGTGACTTAAATCAAGCTCGAGCAGCTGCCGAGGAAGACACCCGGGATCAATCTCGGTCAAATTATTCGCCGAAATGTTTAATTTCCGGATTCGGTCCGGAAAAAACCCTTTCGGAATCTGCCGCAGGTTCATATGAGCCACCCCCAACTCACGCACGTTGAAAACCGTATTCAAAATATTTCGTATCACATTAAAACCGAACGCATTTCCGCTGATTACAAGTCGTTGGAGGGTGTCGGAGATGTCTTGGAGGGCCACCATTTCCAGCCGGTCCAGCTTATTGTACCCAATATCCAAATCAACAAGATTTGAGAGGTTCACGAAGGCCGTGTTGGTGATTTTAGCCAAGCGATTGCGAGCCAAACACAGATATTTTAGTTCTTGTTGGCGCACGAAAGTCTGCTCTAGCACAACCGGAAGCTGGTTTCCGTCGAGTTTCAGACTGTGGAGACGCTTCAAGTCGCGGAATTCGTCCGAAGCAATGAACTGCATCTGGTTGTCGCCCAGATCCAGGTGGGATAAATAAGGCAGCAAGTGGTAGATTTGGGTGTTGATGCGGCGGAGGCCGCAGTCGCGACATTCCAGGACGCGTAATTCCTGCAAAAAAGTGTCTAGTAAGAAACGGGATTGGATCTAGCCGTAAATTCATCTATTGTTGGCGTAAAATCGTTGTGTTATTGCTACAGCGGTAAATCACGTTTATTGGCCGATATTTAGTGGAACGAAATTTATATGGCTACCGATGAAATTGCATATTTTGGTTATTGGGGAGATTTGATGACTGGATAGTGTAATTAAGAGAAACGACTCGGAGAATTCGAAGAGCTGTTACAAAATTAATAAACCAATAAAAAGTTTCAAAAATGTGAGGAGACTAAAAGACACTAGCGTTTTATTTCAGATTTTTTTTCAAATTAATTTTTTTGTACAAAATGTTACATTAAATTCCCACTAATATCCAACAAGTCTATGTCGAGATAAAAATATGATTTGTTATTATTTATTTATTTATAAATATGCACACAGAAACAAAGAGTTTTTTTATTTTTTTTGGAGGATTCTGGTGTGCACTGTTGGGTACTAACGTTATTAGGTCACAGTTACAAAACACAACCCAAACGTCAAAACCATTATTGTTCGTGGATTGAAAGCTGTTCAATTCATTTTTAATGCGCATCCATCGTTGGYAAACTCAAACCCAGTTGTAGAACATTCAAAACACGTAGTAAAAATGCATTTGCAAGTTGTGCGGCGCCGATACAATTTATTACTAATTTAAAGTTCCACCGCAATCGATTGAAACAAGTTGGAACGACTAGAGAGTCACAAAATTTGCTTTGTATCGAGCGAACATGTCAATCACTAAGAAAACGACAAGAGAAATAACTTAGACGTCACAAAGAAGTTAATGTTGCGCTTTGTGAAGCATTTTAACGCTTGCAAACAACACTTTCAACTTGACACATTTTTTGAGAGAGTCGTTGTGAAAAAAAGTTGTTATTAATTGTTGGAAAAGAGTCAATATTTCTATTGTACGTTATATCCCCTTTGATCGGTTAAAGCCGGAATTCGTTCAAACACACGGCGTTTGACACATTTGTCCTCAACAAAAAAGTGTTGCTGATTCAGTTTGGAACGTTTTATCTCATTCCGCCCCAATCTCTTGGCTAAAAGCCGCAAATTGGAGATATAATACACAAAACCGGCATTAATAAAATAAATTGAATCGTTTCTGTGCAATTTATTACGAACAAAGTGCGCAACGCTTTAGTGTTGAATAAATCAGAGTTTCTCGACGAAAAAACTTCCAACTCGCCAAATTGCTCATAAGTCAGGTTAATATTTTCGTAAATTTTTCGATTTCTCCAACTTTCTAAATTGCTAAAGCCGCAACTAATAAAGATAAAGTTGGGCGCGCGGTCCGGAATTAACCTTTGTCTTATTAAATATTAACTCGTGTGAACTCTCTCAAAAGCAATTGTTCACTTCCTAGCAGTAATTTTTGCGTATCCTGATTGAAAAGACGTTTTAAAGCTTCAAATTGCTAAACAAATATTCTAGCTATTAAAAAGTTGTGTTTTATTCATCGGCGTGAATTAAATATGTGGAAATCAAAAATTAATGAGATAGATAGGCAGCGAACCGCCAATGCTTTCCTTCCCTTCCGCGCATGTAAATGAACCTTTCTAATTATTAGTTAAAGCTCTGGTTATATGGAGTTATTAAGTTAATGCAAGTTATAAATTCCAACGGCCATCCATTTTCCCAACAACACTTTAAACATAATTGTAATAACAAATGATCTCTATCTGTACGGAGTGCTTCGTCTAATTCCGCAAATGCGGTTCCCTAACTTACAGAGTTCTGCAATTATGGAGATATTTTTTCATTTGCCGAATTATGAATCGCCCCTACAAGCATCAATCTAGCACAATAAGTACCTTTTATGAGAAAATTAAACTAAATTATAATTCTGGCACTTGTGAAATCATTAAAAATTTCAAAATCGCATTTTTAATCCTTATTGTTCCTAGTTAAAAACCATGATAAACATAAACAATTTTTGCGTAAGCCTAAATCTTAACAAACTTTTTACAAAAATAAATAAACAAGAAAAATATAATAATCCTTGTTTGAGCGAAGGGAAGATCCTCGTCCTCAACTTACTGGAATATCCTTGAACACTTCTGGATTAAGTTCATCGAATTTATTCCCGCTAAGTTTGAGCACGTGAAGTTTTCCGAGTTTTAAAAACAGCCGAGGCACTAATTCGTCGAGGAAATTCCTCTGCAGAGTCAATATCCTTAGCTCGGTCAAATGCTTAAAAACTCCGTTTTGCAAACTTGTTATTCTGTTATCGTCCAAATTCAACTCCACTAGATTCACCAAGCCGCGGAAGTTATGATCGGCCACACCACTGATATTATTCACCGCCAGATCGAGCAGTTTGAGCGAGGGCACGCCCCAGAAGGGGTGCATCCCGATCTGGGTGAGACCGGAGCGCCGGATGTGGATCTCCTCGAGGCGCTTGAAGTGCTGGAAGGTCGGCGAGATGCTTAGCGAGTTCCAGTCGCCGACCGGCGCCGAAATCTCCAACACTTCGGTGCCGGCGTCCATCTCGTTGGTGGGGATAGGGTCCACCATGCCGCCCTCTACGCACTGTACTTTTCGGCGGCCCTTCGACGTCACGCCGCACTGGCACATAGACGGGCAGAGGGCGACGCTACTGGCGGAACACAGGCCCAGCAACAGCCACCACAGCATCCTGCAGGAAACAATCTCATTTCAGTCGACAAATATTTAACTGCAAAATATCGAACGAGCTGGGAACCGGCCAACTGACATAACACAATCTCTCAAAGCATATATTTGTTATTAATAAGCAAGAAAGAATACTTTACGCCCAATTTATAATTAGCAATCGAAAACTATTATAAGCTTGAATCAAGAACTACCCACATTCACTGGCGTATTTAACCCAATTTTGGGTCCAAACCCATAAATATTGTTTTTTTCTGTTTCACTAACACTTTTGTACATTTTATAGTGTTTTATGTAGCATTCCCTTCTTTTCTTTTTTTATTAATTTTGTTAATGGTAATGGTGAATATCATATTGATTGTAAAATTGTCACTTAAAAAACGCGTATTGTTTATTTATAGTAATTAGTAATAATACATAATTCAAAAATAGAATAAAAATACATGATGATTTAACAATGACTGTTCTTTCAAAAAGGTTTTTTTCCGGCTTTCTCGTCAGTAAATACGTTAACAATTTTGTCAAAACTAAGACCATTAAGCACTTCATTTTGATTATTGCTAGCGCATTTAATTTTAAATTAGGTAACGTAATCTGCGGTAGTCTTTTACTCTCTTCAATGCTGAAAATGAACTTTTACCTGTAAAATTAGTCACCGCTTTAGAAACGAACATTCTCAACAAAATCACAAGATTAGGGTACAAGACGTCAATGTTTTTCAGTCTCAATTTTTTTAGTAAGTACAAGTGTCCATTAGACGAAAGACCTAAGGTCCTTGACTTGAAGCAATTCGCCTTCCAAGTTATGATGATGATTTTCTTTGTAAGTTTCAACCAACTTTGAGCATTTTTCTTTAATTTCCTCCGTGGTGATAAGTGGAATGAAGCTCAAAAATCCGAATTCTTTATTAATTTCCAAATACCACTCGCGCCTCTTGGAAAGCTCAGCTTTCAGCTTGTCGATCTGTGGAAGAAATACTTGGATGCAAAATTTATCTTTTCCCTTGAATTGAACGTCTCGGTTTCCTCCTGTCTCATCAAACTGTTTCATTCTTTTTTTCTAGTGACATACTGATAACTTGCATTATTACACAATTTGCTTGCTTGTAGGATCAATATTCACAGCACGAGGTTTTTGATTCATTAGTTTTATCTTCCAAAGACATGTTTTAATAGGTTTCTAAGTCAAGTCTATAATGTACCTAATTCGAGAAATCCTTGTAATTTTGGGAGATTGTGAACGAACATTGTTACAAGAAAAAATAATGACGGTGAATTTATTTTGCTCCGACAAACACGATTTTATTATTATTTTAAAGAGAAAAAATTCTTCTACAAAATACTGCGTCCATTAAAATTTTTGCGTCCCAACCTTGGGCTTATTAGGCTTCTGCTATAATACGCCACTGCCCATATTTCCTGGTTTTTAATTTAGATAAATCTATTTTTTCCGGTTCAAAGTATGTTTTTTTAAAAGCTTTTAATGGTGGAAAACAAAACTGTTAATTACAATAAATAGAATAAATATTTACCTTTAATAGAAATTAATTCAGAGCGTTTCAGCACGTCCTGTAGCATATTTGATTTTTTAGTTAAAAGCTTATGCTAAAAGGATGTTCCCGGGCAAATGGTCCGAACACAGAAATTAAAACTTAGCGAATTAGGTCAATCGGTTCCGCTTTAAAGTTGGTCTTTGACGATAAGGACTGCAATCAGAGAAGTTTCCACATTAGACGATTTTATTAAAAGACGTTTGTCTTTTCCTATTGATTTTTTTATCACTAAAACAAAATTTTTCGTGAAAAAATATTGTTTCATAATCGGCTTATCAGCCAGCTGTCGCCCCACATTCCAATCCACTTTTTCCCAAAATAAATTTACTTAATCAAATCCGTGTTGACACGCCCTAGTTACCACCTTATCATTGCAAATCGCCGCATTCCATCCAATTGACACCCTTTTTATCGCTTGCTCCGTCCTTTGTTAATCCTTCCGTAAACCCTCGCGCATTATTCTCCGAATTTGCTCATAAAAATCCCAAGCATTGTTCTTGTCCATGTTTACTCGTCCGAATTAGACATTCATAATCCCCGCTGTGTCCCAGATAAAGCGCCATACAAATACTCGGCATGCCTCACCGAGCCGCAGTCATGTCTTTGATCGGAGTTTTACTGTTCACCTGTCTGGTATTTGCCGCCACCGGCGAGCATACTTCTGAAGTTAAAATCCGGGTCTCCGGAAACGAGACACTGAAGGACACCGCACGATACGTCCCCCCGGACCGTGGCGGAAACTACGGCGATCTGATCTACAGAACGAGAGAAAACGGCGATGTTTTGCTCCTGAGGGAATTGGTAGTTCTTGAAGAATTATCAGCATACGAGTTGGAGGTTCAGTGGTATGCCAGAGTAGACGCAAGACGGGTTTCCTCGGTCCGGGTTTTGAATTTAGGACGAGAAAGAGGGTTCTGCGAACGGGTTGATGTGCTTGGGGTAGAAGTACAAGCATGGCTAAGGGTGGCACCGAGGTATGACCCAAGGGTGCTTATTGAGATTTATGGTTTTTAAATTGTTGCTAATAAAGGTGGCTCTTGGAAACGATCTACTCTTATTATATCCCGTTCTTGAAAATAAAAGAAATAGGAAGAGGTGGATTAGGGCGTTTATCACAATTTGTGTCTGCTTCGGTGTGATTTCAGAGATTTTTTCTTTTCGGAAATGGAGAGCTTTGAATCGGTGGGAATTGACAAAACTGAGGAAAAATAAGAAGCTTTTATTCCTCATATTTGGAGATGTAGGACTCGGTTTTTATTGCATTACTTTGCCACTTTTTTAAAGCCTTCAAATAATTTTTTAGTGATTTTCAGCAATATTAATAAAAAGGCTCAAAAGTTCTAGTCTTAAATTGTGTTTTCGTTTTTGGTTTTTGATTGAAAATAAGGGAAAAGCTCCAACTGTAAAATCTCTTTGAGATAGTTAAAATTTATGTGGCCTAATGATCGCGTTAAATTCCCAGCTTGAGCTTCCCGTGTCAGATTCTTTTGATCCATTGACGTGAATTGCGGCCTGCACAGCTCATCCTCTTCAATTTCTCAAATTACAGCGAACGTAATTTACGATGCCATCGTGTGATCGGCGACTCGAAAATGAACTTTCATCGAACAAAATCCCAAAATGCATTTGCAAACATTTCCAATTTTCGTATATTTTTAATAGAAAAAGGACCGTTTAAGTAAACTCTCATCTAACTTCCCTTGTCAATAACTATCAACTATCCGCCTAAAGCAATCAAAATCAACTTGTTTACGCCGACACGAAACGATAAATTTGCTAAAGTAATTATTCGGGAGTCGCGAAAATAATCGCCGAATGTGCAGCACTCCCTTCGAAGCGCGCTTTAATTAACTTAGTTTTATGCAAGAGATTAAATTTTATGACTTTGTTTTAAACACTCTACTATTATTTTAAATTGTAATCGGGCCATTAGTGATGTTTCTTATAGACTCGGTAGAGACTCGTTAACGAGAACAGCGAGCAAAATTCAATAAAATTAGAAAAAAACTAGAGTCGGATTAATCTCGACGAATAAAAGTCATAGCAGGTTAAACTGTTTTTATTTCGGCAAGTGTTTACCAAAGAAATCAATGGTTAATGTTCAAAGTTCAAAATTTGCAGAATTGGGTCAATCGGAGTCATTTGTTTCTTTGATTGCAAACAGCAGTGCACCCAAGTTCGAGTTTAAAGACAGTGCAGTAGAAATGTTCGTTTTGGCCCAGTATTCTAACTAAATTTCTTTAAAATTAACTCTTTTTTAAAAGTGTGTCTATTTTTTAAAAACAAAACTTTAATGCATTATTAGTGCTAGGCAACCAGATATGCAGCAGAAAAATTGTTTTAGATATTTTATTAAAACAGAAAATAGTATATTACCTTATTAGGAGTACCTAAAAGTGATAGTTTATATGGCGAAGCTGAATGTTTATTTAAATCAACTCAGCCACATAAACTCAATTTTACTCCGAATAACATATAGGTACTATTTTGTCTTCAAATGTATTCAGATTGGAGTAAAGAGCAACACTATAATCAGCAAGTAAATGAGCAAAATAATAAGAACGCTTTGCAATTAAACCATAACAACGCTTATAAACAAACATCACGGGTCAGTATCGGAATCTGTGTTGTGAWTAAGAGTTTATGAATTTAACAAGTGTAGTTAGTAGTGAAAAATGTCGAATGCTGATAATCTACAGAAATTGCTAAAGCAGTGAAAGAGTCAAGAAAGAGACAATATTGGTAAAATTCATGGTAAAAGAAAAACGCTTAAGCGCAAATATAGAAATATAAAAGTGGTTACTTTTGTGATTTTTGCGGCTAAAAGCTTTTTTATTGTTAAACAGAATGCAAGAATTGATTAAAGCTTTCAGATGAGGTAATATAGCGTCCATTAATCCAAAAATCAGAAAATAAATCGAGTTGTTTTGGCCACAAAAAGACTTTTGTTCACTTAATTAACATTTAAATTCGTTCGAATCCATTGATCACTCTGTAATTTATTGCACTATATCTAGGATTAGCTTGCTTTGTTTGCACGAATCGGTAATAATGACAAACACAATCGTATGAAAAATGTAATCAATGAATATTCAAAAATAATTGAAATTTGAAATTTTACAATAAATTAGTCCAAGTTCGTCTCTCATTAAACCCCCGTTTGATTTTTCACGAAATCGCTGCGCTGAAAAACTGACGATTAAATAACGTTTTTTCTGTCGATTACTTCCGCGGCGTGTTTTTCACTGATAATCCGCATTTTGATAACCGTGACCCACTTCATTAAACGACTTTATCGTGCTTGGACTTCTGGAAAGAAAATTAAGGCAGCAGTAATTAGATTTAATGGCGGTATCGCCGGAAATAAGACTACACCTCGAAAATTTTAACTAGATGGAAAGGTCCTGTTTACAATTCTTGATCCTAGAGGAAGAGCAATGCAAGCAAAGGACTATTTATCACTTCGATTTATTTCTGTCTTTCTGTTTTATTGGAATTATTTATCGTCCAAGCTAGGCAACCAGTAATACTGGGCGCATCCGGCGTTTGCCCAAATCGCTCCAAGCTGTTTTTCATAACGTTTAATTTATTTGAGTACAAAGCTTTGAATTTTATATTCATCTAAATAATTTTTAATTCAGATTTTTATTACGCTTTATATTTGATCGCTCAAAGCCGGACGAACGTATTTTTTCTGCAAGTTTGTCGAATCTCTGGTATTTTTTAA